TGCGTTGTTGCGACCAACTCTGAACCAAAATGTTTTCGATCGGGCGTCGACTACTGTGCATCCGCGCCACTGCCCAAACTACTCACAACAAATATCTAATCGTGGCCACTCGACGATGTAGTTTGCTCAAGATGCCTTATTGTATTATACAAGCTCACGGAGTAATTAGTAATTAGTCCCCTGGTTGTTCCTCAACGGCTCCATTTGTTAACGACGTCGAGTTGTTAGCGATACGTTACAGTGTCGTTAGAAGGCCGGATTTACGGGCCTAATCAGCGGATTCGGTTACTGGCTTGTTAGCAAATTGCTGATAGGATTTAGCGTCTGTGATTACTGCACCAAAAGGTCAACAAAGAAGGTGCCAGGCAGGGTGTGTGATCGGATCGAAGGGCACTGGAGTAGTTTCTATATTCTTTTATTTTTTTAAAGGTTTAGTCAAAATGGCATCGCCATACATTCACATTCCAAAATATTTGCCCGGGCAAAATATTTGTCTTGTACTATGACGAATTTTTTAATCTTAGATCAACATTGGCATACAATTTTTTATCCAAAGGTGAAATAGGTGAAAAGGTGATGGGATGTTGTCCTGATAAGCTGAAATATAACGGGAGACAAAAAAGTAAACATTCACGATGGGAATATTTACAACAATATAAAATTTTTACACCACAACGCCAATCAAACCCGTCTTCTTTAATTCCCGACCACACACACCATCAATAACATATTTGATAGCCAACTTTAAATATTTGTACTCGCGTTAAGTGGATCTTCTCGAAATAGAATCCGCACTCACGCCGATAAGACCGGCTCCCACAAAACACCATTTTATCTTCCTCATTTATTTACTCAGAGTGCAGGAACTACATCCAATAAGTGTGAACTTCCACGAAACCGACGTCACTTTCGCGGACCGGAAGATACACGTGCAAAGCATCCGAAACGCCGGTTCGAGGCCTGCTCAACGGCAGAGGCAGTGAGGGCGGCGAAGACGAGGCATTTTTGCGTGGCCGCCGCCGCCGCCGGGAAATCGATAGGCGTTTATCAAACGGCTTTTCACCTTGACCTAGGAGGCGTGGGCTCGTTCCGTCATTCATGAAAACAAGAGAATGGGACGCTGTGTGCGAAGACGCGGTGTAGTTATAAAAATAGGCATTCGTGGTCGGAAGTACAAAAAGCGCGGCCGTGAAAGTCGCTTTCTGGCCGTGCTGCGGAAGGATTTTTTCGCGGTTCGCAAAAAATTGTTAGTTTAAAGGTGGCTATGAAGACGGGTTTTTGCGATATGGGAGGTACGCAGGGCCGGATGGTGTGTTTGTTTTGAGAATATAGTGAAGACGGGACGAGCGATGTGCGGGTTGTTCAAGGTTAGAGTGAAAAAGCCGGTATTTTAATGCATGGTTGGAAGCGACTAGGTTATAAATAACTTTTATCTATGTAAGAGTACTTGGTGATCATCCTAGCATCTGAAATATGTTGTTTTTTAACGGTGTGCCCTCATTTTTTGAGACAAAACAATTTTCAAATAAATAAGAGAAGTTTTCTACAGCAAGGCGGGCTCAAATTAATCGAGACAGGAAAGTTGGCAAACCCAAAATATGTCACACAACTAAATCGGTATTTAAAATATGAATTTATGAGGCTTGCAGAAAAAAAATTGTCGAAGATTATGTTCGAAAAATAAAAAGATTTGATTTTGCGAATTTTATTTTTTATGATAAAGCATTTATAACTAATTCAAGACAAACAGCGATAGCTCTTGTTACGCTGTATACGTCAAGAGTGAAACAGAGAAACTAAATTGAACGACATTTTCTACGAATTGCAATAACCGAATCACAATGCGATGGTCCAAACTTTATTGCTTCGACTTCCTTTTAGTAAATAAAACATTGCATTTTATCTTCATTTTCGATGTTGTAATTCACATTTGGTTAATTATAACTTGTCTAGATTTACGGGGGGCAAACATTTCTCTAGTGGAGGCTCAGCATCCCCCTAGTTACGGTCCTGTCTAGGGGTCATGAAACGCCGAGAAAATATTAAAGTCCCCCAGTGGACTCGATTACTATAAGTAATTATTAGCTGACTATTCAATAAGTAAAATTGGTCTCTCAGCAATAATAAGAACTTGATGTCTGTATGTTTATACATCGGAAGAATATCACGCAGAAATTAGTTTGGTTTAAATGACTTTGTCGCCCCGAAACAAAATTAAAACTATTGGATTCGAATAGTCGTTTCAAAACTCTTGTGCTAGGAAGCGAAGACTGAAAATGGTTTATTCTGTTGAACAAGACACTTTCATAGTCATGTATGTGACTTAATAATTCAAGAAACATCGTTAGAGGCTCACATTAGAGATGTAATTAACAGATTTGTTCGAACTGGCAGTGCCAACAAAATGAAATCTTGTGGAAGATCTTCAGTATCTGAAGAAGTTGTTGATGATTTAAGACGAGTTGAGAATCCGCAAACATCTTTGACAAAATTTCCTCAGTAGTCAGGAGTTCCTGTTGCCACATGAAATTGAATAGTGGGCATTGACGAAAAGGTTACAGAACATTTTTAAAATTAAAAAGAAAGTAACGATGTGGCTTGAACAAAATAGTGAATATCTTCATTTACTGTGATGTTTAACCGCAATAAATTTGCTTCTTTTTATTGTTATGAATTAGCTTTGTTTTTTTTAAAGAATATCGGCCTTGTGCATTTAGTAAGGTCCAAAACTGAGAGGCGGCACGTGTTCATGACCTACTTCGACCCTACAGTTATTTATATAAACTCTATACAATTTTTGACAATGCTAATTAAACAATATAAAGAGCAGACATCAAATTATTGGTCGGATGTTCGGAAATTAGCTCTCCAATCAAAATGACACAGACAGACGAACAGCCTGACAGACAGATGGAAACGGGAGACCATATTTTTCGTACTCTAGTGCTCAAGAAACGTCGAAAAAACATGAAAGTTACGCTCGAGAAGTAAAAAAGTTAGAAACCTATAATCATAAATACCAAGATCATATAAACGTTTACCTTACTGGTTATCACAATGCTTTTAGCTATCGTTTGATTCGGGAAGAAATCGAACTTTTAACATTAAATTAATTGATGTGCGCTAATTAATATAACAAACCGAAAAAACAAGTACTTTTACCAGAGGAAACTTGGGAACAAATCAGACAAATCGGGTTTACTGCATTTTACGACATCGTAAATGGCACCTTTCATCAGAATGAGAACTGTCTTGATGTCATGGCCAGAACGTAATTTTTACAATGCGGTTAACAAGATTATAACACGTAATAAATGCAGTGTATTTGATTTATTAGCAGCCAAGCACGATTTGATTTTACAGTTGATTTCCGGCCTTTCACATTTTGGTTTTTGACACCAAATCACATTTCTGCATAATCACACAGAGAAACAGTTATCTTATTAATCTTCAATTATACACAATAAAATCACAAAAATTGACATTTTTTTTTTGTATTTTATATTTTATCACCAATTTATTACAAGTGTCATAAAAGGCAAACAAAAAATGGATGGACTAGAAACGTTTTATGATGAATAAAAATCTACAAATTTTGAATTTCAGAATTCTATTATACAACAAATCGCAATTTTTCAGAATAATTCTGAACAGTACTAACCGCGTGTCAAAAAAATTTACAAATTCGTAATTGTCCTAAAGAGACACGACACTTTTCTAATTTAATCAGGAGATTCGATTAGTGGGAGTAAAAAAGAACAAAAATGTTAGCATTGCAACTGCGATAAAAGGTTTCTACGATTTTTCATTAACTAAATTGATATCGCAGAGATTTACTTTGAACAAAACAATAATACATAAAGTTGATCTGGTACAGAAGGAACATACGACAATATATTTCCTTCATACGGCTCATTCACGTAATACAATATTTTTCCAAGAGCTCTTGACTGTTGGCAGACAGAAAATTTACAGAAACCTTTGTGTACAGGAAGAGAACTGAATTTACAAAGCTCTCACGTTTCGGGCAGCTCGACTATTTCCTAAATCCGGTACAAAATATTCATCATTAGCACATTCGTGAATTAATATGTGATTTAATCGTGGTCTGTATCGCGTTACAGTTACATTTGCAAGAACCGCATTTCTTACGAAAATTCTATAAAAATTTTGTCTATTACGTAAATTTACAATTTGAATTTTTAATTCGTCAAGAATTTACATCGAAAAAACATTCCATTTTCGTTTATAAAATAGCGACATTCTGATATTTTGTCTACTATAAAAACATCGATCTTGCGAAACATCGTACATACACGTAAACAAACTGCATGATTTTGCCAATATTCGACTATAAATTAAAGAAATCGCCAATAACTTATCTTCAAGTTTCCAAAAATAATAACAACGTTACCACAACAAATCTAAATAGGAGTAAGAATTTTCAGAAAATATGTTAGCACCAAGATACCGGTTGGTGTATGGTAAGCATTATCTCGTTTCTATTGGTACCTTCGCGACGGTATTTTTTTAGTTTCTTATTCGCCAAGATAGGTTTGCAACTTTCGCTCTAACGGGCACACGTTTAAATCTGCCATACAGGCCCGTAATTGCAGTTTTAAATTAGTGCTCGTTACGTAGGATCTCTTGAATAATTCTTAACGAAGTTTAATGAGAACCACTTCTTCGAGAAAAATTCATCAATATTAATTTTTCCCCGCCGCCCAAGGTCAAGCTTATTTTTGTTTTCGTTATGTAATGATAGGTAGCGCCTCATAAACAACCCGAACAGCACACTTAATACGTATCGCGTAATTGATACCAAACAAACCGCAAGCGTTACGAGAATAAACACGAGCTGCGACGCAAATCGCGTAAAAAAAGCATTGTTTATGCAAATTCGGCAATTTACAAACACAGTCGTCCAATTCGTGCAGCGACTGGTTTATGCTATGCACCACGTTCCCACCGACGACACCAAACGTAAGCGAAAAACTTACCGGCTCCTTTCGGCGCTGTCCGTCTTCGACTTCTTCTTCGAGTGCGCGTGAACCGGCGAGATGCTGGGCTCGCTGCCGGACGCCGGCGGCGACGAGGAGCCCGTGCTCGAGGAGAGACTCCCCGCCCTGCCTCTGCCCTCGTTGGGGCCGGGGTGTGCCGCCGAGATCGCCAGCGAGGGCCTCGCGTTGCGGTTGCGGCGCTTCTTCTTCTTGCCGGCCGCCGCCTCGGAGATGTCCTCCACGCGGCCGAAGATATTGCTCGTCGGCGGCGGCGGCATCCAGTCCAGGTCCTTCTTGAGGTGGCCGCGGCCGCACTTGCAGCCGCACGCCTTGTACGCCAAGTCGTAGCCCTTCTTCGTCCAGAGGTTCTGGTGGCGCTGCCGCTCCGACCAGGAGCGCGCCCGGCCGCAGGTCTTGAGGTAGGCCAGTACCGTCTGCTCCCACTGCTCGAAGCACTCGCGGTGCATGAACCTGCCGGAGGTGCAGAGCTCGTTGTTGCAGGTGACGCGCACGGTGTCGCGGAGGTCGTCGAGGGCGATCAGCATCGGGTCGGCGGTGTTGGGGCTCATCTGCTGCTGCTGCACGCGCAGGCACTCGCCGGTCGGCACGCAGCACCGGGTCACGCCGGCGTCCTCGGCGTCGAGGAGGCCTTGAACTTGGCCGAGGTGGCGGCGCGGGGCCATCGGTGTCAGGGGAGGATCGCGCGGATGCGTCGGATAGTTCGAGGACGTCTTGCAAGCGGCTGTGTCGGGAGCCTACTGCAGCTGCACGCACGGGGAAAGTGCTCGGCGGGGACGCCGAAAGCGAAAGGTAGGGGAAGGAGTGGGGTTTCGCTTTTCACTTTCGGTTTCCGACGCAAGCGCCCCGAGTTTCGCTTTCGGTAGCCCTGACCGCCGGTGGCGGCGCCGGGACGCACGTTGCCACCGGCCAATGGGGCCGGTGCATGCTGCATGGGGTCGGCGACGCGAGCCGCCGGACGACCGACGCTTTTTGCGGGAAGCGCACCGGGTTCGAAGTTTTTTATTTTTTTTTTTTTGACTTCCCCGTCGTCGGCAGGCGGGGTCAATTATCAATACAACACACATCCGCGGGATGAGTTAGGATAAGATAGCGCTGAAAGTATCTCCCAGATACTATAGATTAAAAATATTTAGAAAGCTCTTCACGTTTTGAGATGTTCTGGGGTTGTTTATGCAGTTCTTAGTAATTTGCCGTCTGGATTTTGAGCGTAAGCTGAGGAAGTATCGCAGTCGAGTCCATCCGGATACGCTAGCCATTCGCCCGTCTGTCCGGATTTCTAATAGACAGATAATCTTCGAAACTACTGGACTGATTGTTCTTAAATTTTGTATGTATCATCTGAATGGTAGAACACCTTAAAATTGCAAAATCGAATGCTTTGAAGTCTCGGAGATGTTTTAAGGTTATCGAAAGCATGGTAAATTGTTAATCAAAATTTATCCGTTCGTGCACCCCCAGGAATTGATTATGTATATTGTCATCTTAAATTTAGTCGAATAATTCTAATTTAAACGTTAAAAAGTAAGATGGTCCAGAACTTATAGTTTACGAATCCAGGTTAAATTTTAATCTTGGAAATCGAGATTTTTGGAGAAAAAAATCCATTTCTCGGTTTTTTGAGTTTTCGATATTTCAAGTTTCGATTTCTCAATTTAACGATATTTTAATTTTGGATTTTTTTAGTTTTTTATTCAATTTTTAGATTTCTCAATTTCTCAATTTTCAATTTTTCAATTACTCAATTTTTCGATATTTCATGGTTGGGATTTTTCAATTTTTCGACTCTTCAATTCCTATCTTAACATTTTTGACGTTTCTAAATTTTCAATGTATCAATTTCTTAATTTCTCGATTGATTGATTTTTTGAGTTTCCCATTTCTCGGTTTCTCGACTTTTCAATGTTTTGATTTTTCAGCTTTTCAATTAGAGTTGGAGACACGGAATTTCAAACGACCTGTCAATCATAATGACAATAAGGTATAAGACTACAATGTTTTTAAATGTAAGAAAGTTGGTTGTCGTTTAAAATTCCGTGTCCCTAACTGTACGCATTCAATTTTTCGACTTTCCGATTTCTCGATTTTTCAATCGTTCAATTTCTCAATTTTTCAATGTTCAGTATTGGTATTTCTCAATACATATTTCGATTCAATTTCTCGATTTTTTGACTTTTCGATTTTTCCGTTTCTCGATTTTGTTCCTTTTTTCCTTTTCTCAACTTTCCGATGTTTTTTTTAGTTTTGGAATTTTTCGGATTTTTATTCAAATTTTAGATTTTCAATTTTTCAAATACTCAATTTTTCGATGTTTCAGGATTTTTCAATTTCTCGACTTTTCAATTTTTCTATTTCTAAATTATTGACGTTTCTAAATTGTCAATTTATCGCTTTCTCAATTTCTCGATGAATTGATTTTTTGAGTTCCAAACTTCTCGATTTCTCGAGTTATCAATGTTTCAATTTTCCAGCTTTTCAATTTTTCGATTTCTCGATTTCAGGTTTTTGATTTGTCGACTTCAATTTTTCGACTTTTCGACTTCACAATTTTTTTAATTGCTCGATTTCTCAATTTTTCAATGTTCTATTTTTTGTTTTTTTCAATTTTTGGATTCTTCAATTTTTCTTCCAATTTTCAATTTTTGGAAATTTCATTTTGGGATTTTTCAATATTTCGATACAATTTCTGGATTATTTGACTTTTTAATTTTTCCTTTTCTTGGTTTTATTCCTTTTTCGATTTCTCAATTTTCCGTTGTTTTAGTTCTGGGATTTTTTAATTTTAGATTTTTCAAATTTCTGTTGTTTCGATTTCTCAGTCTTTCTATTTTTTAACTTTTCGGTTTTGCAATTTTTTTGACTGTTCAAATTTTTTGATTTTTTGATTTTTCAATTTTTCCATTTTTCAGTTTTTAACTTTCGATTTTTGGATTTTGGCCTACTTCATGGTTTGTCAATCTTTTTGTTTTGATTTCTGAATTTTTCGATATTTTAACGTTTCAATTTTTTAAATTTTAGATGTTCCGATTTTTCAATTCTTCGATATTTTTATTTTTCAGTTTTCCGAATTTTTAATGTTTCAATTATTCGATTTTTCATTTTTCAATTTTTAAATGTTTTTATATTTTAATTTTTAATCTTTCTACATTTTCACTTTATGGATTCCTTAATTAATTTCTCAATTAATTATTTTTTTATTTTCCCATTCTCTCGACTTTTCAATGTTCTAATTTTTCAGTTTTTCAATTATTCAATTTTTCGATTTTCAAGTTTTTGGTTTGTCCAGTTTTTGACATCGATTTTTCGCTTTTAAATTTTTCGATTTCCGGTTTTTCAAGTTTTCAATATGTATTTCAATTTTAAGATTTTCGATTTCTTCAATTCTTAAATTTTATATTTTTCGTTTCAGGTGTTTGGATTACTCGATCTTTCGATTTTTCGACTTCACCGTTTTATATTTTTTAGTTTTTCTATTTCTCCATTTTCCGAAATTTCGATGTTCCCATTTTTTGATTGTTCAATTTTTTATTTTAAATTTTTCAAATTTTCAATTTCTAACTTTTGGTTTCGGTTTTGGCCTATTTCGAATTTTCAGTTTTTCAATTTTCGACTACTCGGTTTCTGGATCTTCGATGCTTCAATTTCTCGCTGTTTTGGTTTTTAAATTTGTTGGTTTTTCGATTTGTCAGTGTTCGAATTTTTCAATTTTCGGATTTCTTTAAACTTTTAAACTTTAGAATTTTAAGCTCTTCGATATTTCTATTTTTCAGTTTTCCGATTTTTTATTTTTGATGATTTTTCAATTTTTTCCCGACTTTTCAAAGTTTCGATTTTTTATTGTATCATTTTTTCAATGATTCAATTTTTCAATTTTTTAAATTTCCGGTTTTTCGACTTTTCAATTTGACGATTTTTAAAATGTTCGATTATAATTTATGTCACCAGTTCTGTAGAATTTGTTGGGCTGAACTTCTGGGGAGAAAGAAGTTCTGTCTGGACGAAAAAAAGAAAAGGAAGAAAAGTTTTAAAAATACAGACATAATAATACAACGGAATAATAATAATCTAGTCGAAAAAACTACAACTGGAGCAAACAAACTGAATCGAAAATGGGAAAAATATAGTTTTTCTTGAAATGCTTTTCAAATCGAGTAATCACCAGAAAACACTTTGTTCATTTTGTTGTAAAAATTGTCCGTCTAATTGAAAAATGTTTTGTTTGATACACATTTCTTGACGAGTTGTTCTTGATGGAACCGGAACACTTACCAAAAAAGAGATAACACTTAATAAGATAGAAATATCCAGAAGAAACATGCTGGTTGCTGGTACAAGTTTAAAAGATGCTCCTGCTCGTGTCTAGATACGGTCCCTATCAAAATGTCAATACTCTCACAATCGTGTCTCAAATTCTCCTGCCACCACACAGGTGTCAACTCAACTCGGTCGTCTTCATCTTGCAACGCGGACAGCTGAGTTTGCAGAGTCTTGCTTCGTAATCTCAACAAAGCTGTTACGTTGGAGCAATTCGATAACACCGCCACGTATTTATCTTGGTAAACATGTCATGTACCGGCCAAAAATAGATGATGTGTACATTAGCGCTTATCTATTAATTTGCAAACGTGAATACGTCAAGCTATAAGGCTGTTAAAGGGAACAATGTAAGTATGTAGATATTTATGCAAGCGCCTTTGTCCGCGCTATTTATTAGATAGGGTGCGGCCATAATACTCGTAAATAGCGACTAATGCGTCTCATTGTACGGCTTTTTGTCTGCATCAGAGATTAAGACGAGGTGCTGTTATCTTGTAATTACTCCGCGTTGCTATCGCGCCCATTTAGACGTCTCAACAGATTTTAAGACGGGCCATCGAGCGGACACCTTTTGTCGACGAGATATACGAGGACGAGCAACAAATTGGGCATTATGATGCGAGGTGAGAGACGAAATGAAAAACGATTTCAATAAATTTTCATTTTTTGAGATGACGATTTTAATCAAAATACTGTTTTTACATACCATTTCAATGAGTAGTTTCGACGATTTTTTGTTTTTATTTTCGCAAGGTCTCCCGGAAGTTCGATCTATTGTCGAAACGTCTTGAAATTTCTCTTAACAATTAACAAAGTAGTTACCGTTGAGTCTTGAAAGTACTTAAAATGCATTATCCGTTGAGATTTTAAATAAAATTCAACGTTTCCGTTTCTCGAGTCTTCCATTACCGGAACTTTCTCGACTCGTTTCCTGCACTTTCTTGCCGTAGCCGTCATCATGAGTGGCACGAGAAAAAGATCTTGGTTGTCTCTGCCGATACCGAATAAAAAAAATAATTTTTGTGTAATTTTTTCGTGAAATATACCCATTCGTCCCGAAAACCCACTTCTTTAATTTGGATTCATTAGCTCTCGAGCACGTACATACCGCCAACCGCGCCATGATTTATTTGGCTCCTTAACACCGTAAACTAGAAGTTCTTCGAAAGTCCACTTCCTGGAGCTTCGCCGGCCCCTGCTGCACCTCTGAACTTTTTTGTCTCGATAGTGTGTGGTTTGCATAATTCCAACCGTGAAAAGAAACTAACCTTGAAGAATTATATGGAACCAGTTTTCCTGGTCTTCTTATTTGAAACAGGATGGTAGGGTACAGTTAGGACAAAAAGAAGCCTTTTTGGAGACGCTTAAATGTTCCGCGGTATTGCATAACACGTAACAAAAAAAGCTTTGTATAATTAATTTTTTATTGTGT